TACCTTTTGGCTTTTTGAGAGGCCGTACTTGAATAAAAACTTAGAAATAAATATCAAGTGACTAAATACTTATAAGAGAAAAATACTTTTTTGTTAACGTAAGGCGCGCGTCAGCTCGAGCGCGCGCGTAACAACCTCCCGATATTTGCCGCTTGTATCCACGCAGCGTAGGTATAAACATGCCTAAAGCGCGGAGTGAGACAGGCCTGCTATGCCTATAACCTTTGCGGAAGTGCAAGCAATAAGTTGACAAAGTTTTACCGTAATCAGATGAGCATTATGGCGGCGCATAAAATACGTACAAACAAAAATTTATTTTTATATATTAGATTAATATAATAATACTGGCGATCCGCTTCTGTTTCGCATGAGTAGCAGGAGGTATCTCCGGCTGGCTGTCCTGTAGTGATCTGGGAGACGTTCTTATAGTATCTACCAGCCTTTTCCGTAGCGCTCCTAGATTCAATTCACATTAAAAAAAATTACAACTTATGTAACACAATATAAAACAGCACTACAAAATTCACACCAATGATCGCTTTCTCGCTGAAATTAACTTCTTGAACTATCACCAGCCATGCACATGGAGTTTGAGTAAATCATCTTATTAAGACAATTTATAAAATGATTTACTCGCAGCAGGGTATTGTTTTGCGTAGTAATTGTACGCAATTACACAGGACATTTACTCAGTACATTTATAATAGGTACCTAAACTAGTGGTCCAAAAGGTTTCAGATAAGGGCTGTTCTAATCTAGATAAAATTAATAACGAAACGTTACTTAAAGTAATTTGATAAAGATTTTTACTTCGTTATACAAACGACGGACATAAACCGAACTTTTACTACGTGTAAAGCTTTCTTTTTAGGGTTCCGTAGTTACACAACATGGAACCCTTATAGTTTCGCCATGTTCGTCTGTCCGGTGCTACAAAGGTGCTACAAATCTGTAATTTGGCATAGCTATAGATATTAACCACGCCTAGAAAACTGTGATATAAAATCTTAAATAACATTTTTATTTTGGGTACTTCCCATACAAGTATAATATGGAGGATGATTTTTTTACCCTTCTATTTCATCACATGGGGTATTGTTGTATAGGTATTTCAAAAACAATGGGGGTGTGGAATAACATGTTTTCGATTCAGGGGTCCGTTTGCGAAATATTTAGCTTTAAAGGCGTATTTTTCATTACAGTCATGTGTACCCTCCCTCTTCCAACTAAACCGCTGTTTTTGCAAATGTGAAAAGTATATACAAAAGTAGTATATATAATGAAATTAAAAGGAAAACTATCACAACTAAGTTGAATTCAGAAGTGAACGAGTAATAACCAACTTATAAAATGCACTTGGTTTAGTAAAAATTTTATTACAACTCCATAGAAAATGACCTAAAACTAACTGCATTAATTAACTTTGTAATGTTATTGTAAACTGTTAAAAGTAAACATTTTATGAAAAAACGACTTATATGCATCACTACTATTAGCTTTACTTTATCGTTTGCGGGATAGATAGGGTATTATTATCAAAAGCGAAAAGTTTTTTTAATCTATTTTGAATACCACTCCCTATAAAGCTGATTTGAAAACAAGTCATTCAGTTAGGATCTTCCTTATTGGGTCCATTTTTAATCGTTATAGCGATCAAACCGCGAGCTCACTTATACTCATTATCAAGAAAGCCCACGTATTGTGACGGGCAACTGTGGAACCCTACCTCTACATTGGGCGTGGCCCGACACGCACATGGTCAGTTTTTTGTTATTGCGAATTAATCTTAATAGTTGGACGTAGGATTTTTTAGAACATCTGAAAGAACAATTTCAGTATACATTCTTTTCATTGTCATTATTGGAACGAAATTCCTTATCGGACGGTACGAATTTGGCAGATGGGGGCTAGGCGAGCAGAAGTGTAAGATTTTTCCGGCACGGTAGACTGCCTTAACGGTTATAAGAAAGCGAGATGGAATAATATCCATCTCAATGGCACTTTTTCTTATCATGCCATAAAAGAAATATTATTTAATTTTAAATGACGCTTCATTTTAATAGACGCTAGTAATTCATTTATTTGTATTTGTTAATCAATAATATATAATACGTTTATGAATAATAATATACTACGAAAGAACCTTCGTTCCAACCGAGTGTTCCACGACACTCACCCATGTTTTTTTCATGATATCTCGCCTTGAAAGCTCTGAAAATTATCATCATAAAAATAACTGATTTGCATTTTCATATATTATATATCAAAACAAAATGTATTTAGAGAGAATTTCCATCATGGCGGCCACGCTCAAAGAAGATTAGCCATCTGCAGGACAAAATAAAGCACGAGTGTATACGAAAGATCAGGTGCACTCCCTATACTCTCACAAATAGTGTGACAAACGAGCACACTGTCTACCTGATGGTAAGTAGTTGCTGTGGCCCATAGACATCTACATCCGATCTATATGTTCTACAATTATACTATAAATATAGCTGCAATTTGGCTCTACCACGTACAAAAATTATTTTATTTTATTACCAATGACAATAAACTATTACCGAAGAAATTCAAATATATTTACTACTACTTAAATGTCTTTGAGTTACACGCAAACACGTTCTAATGTACTCATAGACTGGAAATATGACACAAACGGAGAGAGATCAAGCGCAGAAGCAACGGATATACGTGCTTTTCTGAGGCACGGCTGTGAAACACCACCATCTTCCTGACTCCAAACTGCAATTGAAAATTTCTTGACAGAAAAACTCAACAACCGATTTCGTCCGACCCGTGATTCAAACCCAGGACTACATGAAACGCGTGACCAATAAATCGACAAGGCTCTACCACGTTTAAAACTTTTGCCTTTAAACTAATCTGGGGGCCACGGCAGTGCCACCGCCAAGTCGAGCAAAAAAACGGCACGGCCATACCATCCTTTTCTCGAAGCAGTTCAGGCCATTTTCGAAACCCTATAACTTCGTTGTGGATAAAACTAGAAGCCTGAATTGTAGTAGTATTGTCAGTAACTAAGTAGGCATTGCATAATCTCGATATGTTTCAAACTTTATTAAATTTGATTCAGTAGTTTAAGAATTATAACTAGTCAAAGTTTCTTAATTTTGTCACTCACCAACTAACAGATCATCAAAACCCTAAGCCACTTCTAGCAGACATACAAGCTTCAAATTTGGAATACAACTATTGTTTAGTATATAAATCAAGAAATAATTAAAATATTTTGCAATTTCGGTCCAGTTTTCGAGATAAACCAAATGCATAAATAACTTTGTAATCGCATATAAATATATAGAATTACAAAGTTACATTTACAGTGAATGAATCAGTGCACCTATATATGTGTAATATAATGGAATAATAGGTGTAGATAGGTGCCTAGATATAACTATCTACAAAAAGAAATGAGATGCCATCAAAAACATAACTTGTAAAAAAAACCAAGTCTCGCAACTCATTTCTTCTACCGTACAAAGTTGAGAGATCCATGTAATACCAAGTCGGTTAATTTATTCAGTCCCTACTTAAGGGTCCTTCTGTCTTAAGTTATTACGTAATTAGCTAACCTAACAACATCTTATAGTGATCATATCAATATAAAAAAAGATATGTTTTAAATAAATAAATTGACTTGGCAATCGCACTAAACAATCTAATTTAGTATAATATGTATTACTTGAGAGATATATTGCGTTTTCATGCGATGGCCAAGTCAATCTATTTATTTAAAATATAAAAGATTTTTACTCGTGTACTCCATGTACGACCGGACTTGCGCTTTATATAAGGTACGAAGCTGCCCTGGCGTGAAGTACCGCCGCACCCTTGCAAGGACACCAAGTTTCCTTGCGGCTGCTTTGGCTCTGGACTCAATGAACCGCCCATAGTTTAGGTTCAGAGAAAATTCAATCCCTAACAACTGAAGGCGGTCAGTGTACTCCAAGGATAGATTCCGGAAAGTAGGAGCCAAGATGAGCGGGCTCCTTTTAGCAGTAAAAAGACACGCTTGTGTTTTGGAGGCGTTAAATCTCACGAGATTGGCTACGCCCCTTTCGGAGACTGCCTGTAGTGTGAGACTCACACGCTCAACCATAGCCTCTCTTTCTGACTGGATTTGATCCCGACTAGCCCGGGCACTTGGTTGGTATCACTCCACAACTGTGCTGTCGTCTGCATACCTATAGACACCGGGAATGAGCAGATCATTTATATGCAGCAGGAAGAGAGTTGCGGAGAGAACGGACCCCTGAAGAACACCGGCGTTAACATGAACATATATAATAGGTAAACAGATATCCCAAATAAAACCAAAATGTTGAATATAACGAAACTTAAATTTATTTCATTGGTTCAGCTATATCTACTTAAGGATACTTAAAAATAAAAAAAACTCAACAATAAACACACAGAACAACAACACACAACATAACAGTTCTCATGACGACAGTGGCATATCAAATCAGAATGAACAGTATATAAATATTTAAAACATTCTTACAGGTAAGGTAACTATCAACACTGAACAGACCTCATATAACTACATGTAATTTACATGAGCATCAGCATAGGAATGGATTCAAAACTGGTTACGTGTAGAAAAATATACAAGTAATAATTTGTGTAAATATTAGACCAGAAGAACTTGATAAAATGTGCAAAATCGCTGATTACTCCTTGTCAAAAGCAATTAAATACTACATCAATTAAAGCTTCATTTAACACTCGTCTTATAAAACGAAACGAATCCACACTACTCGTTATAATCACAAACGCTCAAGTATTTGAAACAATCGCATCGCTAGGTATAATTTTCGCAGTGCATTTAAAACAGATTCCAGTTGGTTAGGATATAGTTATTACCTATAAAGAGTCTCGATGTGATTGTTCCTTAGACTATTGACTCGTGCATTTTCGTGTAACAGCAAGAGTCTGTGATATGTATCCACATCCAAAAACACTGTAGTTTAAATTAATTATTTTGGAAACTGCCACGATGACTGTTGAGATTGTTGCGGTTTCAGTTGCTGAGGAGCCTCTTTAACTACTTCTGACTTTTGGCTAGCTGCTACGCTATTATCACTTCGATCCCACCCATGGGATTCATGAATATGTTCATGATGATCAGGAGATGGGAACCACTCTGATATCCAAACTGGTCGCCAAATTTTCTTTACTCCTGGTATCCAAATATCTTTCCAATCTGGCACCCAAATCTGCTTCCAAGCCTCTTTCCACTCTAGTTTTTTATCTGGTATCCAGACTAGCTTCTTTGAGGGTTTCCAAATTTGTTGCCAAGCTTCTTTCCAAATAAGTTTCTTGTCATCTAACCAAATTTGTTGCTTCTCTGTTTTCCATATTTGCTTCCACTCATCTTTCCATACTAATTTCTTATCTGGTATCCAGATTTGTTTTTTAGCTGGCTTCCAATACTTTTTCCAAATTGGTTTCCAAATTAACTTTTTTTTCCAAAGATCATGCGAAGTATATTCCCATCCATCATGATCTTTACCAAGGTATTTCTCACCGGGTACACCTACTTTAACCCATTCTGGCACCCATACTTGTTTCCATGCTGGAACTTGAATTTCTTTCCAGCCTGGTACCACTATGTCTTTATATACAGGGACTTGTATTTTTTTCCAGTCTGGAACTTTCACTTCTTTCCAAGCTGGTACTTTAATAGGCTTCCACACGGGTTTGTAAATTTTTTTCCAGTCTGGGACTTTAATATCTTTCCAAACGGGAATTTTAGTTGGGACCCAAATAGGCTTCCAAATTTTTTTCCATGATGGTTTCCATATTTGCTTTTTCGACTGCTTCCATATTTTCTTCCATCCCGGTTTCCATATAAGTTTCTTTTTCCAATAACCTGGGTCGTGGTGATCGTGGTGGTCGTGGTGTTCGTGATGTTCTTCATGGTGTTCCTCATGATGTTCTTCTATATGATGTTCTTCATGAATATGGTCTTCATCGTGATGCCCATGTGCTTCGGGATATTCGTGTTCTTCGTGATGTTCTACTACTTCATGATGGTCGCCATGAAGGTGTAAATCGTCGTGATCTTGAAAAGGATTCACAAGGTCGAGCGGTGGGGCGGGATAGTCGTAACCAACACGTTTCTGTGCGTTATTAGTTGCCTCAGCCTTAGGCTCCAACTGTTGCTGTGTTTGTTGTTCTTGCGGTATTAACGCCTTTCCCGTGACTAGAGCGATTTGTATTACCGCTAGGGTAATCTGTAACAATCAGAATGTTTCTTAAGTGAGGATATACATACTAAATAATCGCGTAGCAGAATGTGCGCAGGGCTAAAAAACGTAATCGCAAAGCCTTTACACTACAATGTCAGCACAAAATTACAATAAAGAAACAAGGTTGGCAACAAATGATTACAATCTTAAAATAGTTCGCATAGTTTTATTATAAAAACGTGAGCGGAAAATATAAACGGCGTCTTGAAGCACATCAGGGCTTGCATCTACAACAGACAATTTCACCTATATTCTTATTAGAAGGTTACATAAATGCGCGAATCATAGTGTATTACATAACATTACCATAATAACAAAAGGAAAGTTGACGGTCCCAAGCTAGATTTGACCAACGACCATTAGTTTATTGTCGAAACGAAGGTACATACGTTTCATAAAATACTTAATTTAATAAAGTACAAGGTTTTTATTATTATGAATGTTATAATAGATTACACTTGCGTTGATTACCTCTTTTACCTCACTTTTGCGTCGTATATAAATGGTTTTGGTATATACTATATAAATCTGAGAATAATTATCTATCTGAAGAGTTACATAATATGCATAATGCCACGTATTGCCATAGAAAAGTCTTAAGTTGTTTTATTAAAATCTACAAATCAAGACCTTTTTAAAAATTAATCGACTAGAAACTCTTGAGGCCTTCTTACTTAATTTAATCTTTCGTTAGATATTGAAATTAACTTTGTTTTTCAATCCTAGCTACACCAACACATGCTCGCTCATGTAGTTTTTTTAACCAAATCTTAGTTTTAACAGGCCAAAAAGCATCGAATGCAAAACGCTGAAAAAATTTATCATACTTGACATTTAAATTATCTTAAAATGTCCTCGGGGCCGTTTGTATTATGCGAGTTAAATGAAATCTGGAGAACACGTCTAAAGCAAATCACTTTTTTACCTCAGCAGATTTTGCATGAAAATATAATTAATTAATGGTTGATTTTACACCGGTATCACACGTCGTCTGCAGATCCTCTTTAGTATAAATGCATAAAAATAAAAAGTCAATTTGAAATGCTGATTTACCACGTGCTCGGCTGTGAAATAACGTGAGGTAACCTGCATGTCTGAGAAATAGGAAAAAATATTTCGAAAACAATTGAAGTTTGCCAACACGCATTGGCGGACATTTACTTCTAAAACCTTCTCAGAAATGAGAGACCTGTGCCCAGTTGTGGGATGTATATAGATTGTAACTTTAAGTTTTGAAAATAAGTTGTGATTATCCTTTGTTACACTATAAATTAACGCATATTATTGTTTCCGATGTTTATGATGAAACATTTTTCATACGTACACACAATGACCAATCCGCAAAATCCTTATGCAAACAGTGAAAACCGCGCGTGAAAGTTCATCTGTTTCATTAGCGTAGTTCGCATATGGATGACAGTACAATACGACACTGACGCAAAATTGTTACGCAATCAACTTTAGTTTCCGAAGTTGATTGATGATAAATACATCGTAGACGTTGTTTCTATTGACATTATCGACTTAATAAAATAAAGGTAGATGGTTAACTTAACATTAAGTAGCGCCGTGTGGTGTGGCGTAAAAGGATTCTCCTACCTCGCCATCACATGGCGCCACTTAAACCACCCCATTTCCACCGAAGGTGTCTAAGGTAATGGGGTGATCTAATTATGTCATATTAAAAGAGCTTCTGGTTTCTAATACTCGTTTTTCCCACGGTTAACGTGAACTTTTAAGGGTTTTTGAAGACATGGAACTACTACTGTATCGAATATACAGGATTGATATAAATTATAAAATATCCTATAACCATATTAGAAAAGAAAACGCAATGAATATTTATAGTTTTAATAGAAACATAAAGTTCTATATGCACTATTCGGAGTTAATTCTAGATGGCTCGTTAGTGCAGTGAATTTACACTTGGCTGCGGTCAAGGCACGTGTTCGATTATCGAACGGATTCAACAACTATTTGTAGGGAATAAAATGTGGCCTACAATATTTGTCAGAATTCTCGACATTTATTGGATGTAATTTAAACTAGCTTCCAAAATGCGCAGATTACAAAAAACATGCTTAATTTTTGCAATCAAATTCTTATTTTTTTAAATTAGGAAATCTCTTTAATAATAATACTCTTACACATTTCTTGCCGTTGATCTTGTTTTTTAAGTGATTTTTTTAATTAGACGATGGCCGAGTATTAAAATTTAAAAAAAAAATATTTTCTTTTAGAAATTCGAACACTAGAACTTTGCCGGTAACATACGAATGTAATATTATAATAACGATGCTGGTACGAATTCTCAAAGCGTAAATCGGATTATGCAATGCCGTTCAGGGCGCCATAAAGACAAAATAACGTCCGTTTTATTCCTCCTACGCACTTATTGCGTATAATTATTAACTGTTACCAAAATAAGATCGTGATACGCGGAACGGAAGAGCAAGATAATCGCGTTACGTAAAACCATTTGTCCTCATTGAGTGTAGGCACAACTTTGGCACGTAAGGGTTAACGGAATTAAATTTTGGAGATTACACTGTTGCATCATAACAATATCCTAAATACTTAACACATAACTATTATTCTATTCTATTCTATCCTATATAACACATAACATTTAACTGTATCCTCAATGCTTAAACATGTACTTTCATTATAAAAACATTTCTAAATAAAATTACGTTTTAACAATACAGACCTTTTTAAATATCATATTATTTAATATTAATGGTGCCAACTGAATTTATTTCTTGAATTTTATTCTTGTCTGTGACATTATTAGTTACTCAACCTTTCTATTTTAAATCATTAGTTTTTAATGTAGCATAGATGTGTTTTTTTTTTAATGTCGAACACGTTTGCATACATTAATTTGATTGCAAATACAATTTTGCGTGTAGCGTGTTCTAAACAATATTGTTATGTATATATTTTATATATTTTAACGTTAGTAAATAAATTTGGAATATGCAAAATTATAAATAATTATATAAAATGTTATATATTAAATAAATTACTTACAACATTTTAAAAGTCCTTCTAAAATATTCATTTTAGATTCATAAGTTGTATTGTTATTGTATTGTTATTTGTAATTATCACAATGAATGAAAACATTATGAATCCATTTGGAAGTATAAATACCTTATGGAAATTATTATAAAAAGCCTGAAATAAAAATATGTAGAAACGTCTGCTAATGACAAATTACCAGCAAGATAAATAGATTCCATTGTTACCAAAATTAATTTAAGTTATAGGCAAATGATAAATACGGGCGAAGGACGCTTTCGCACAAGAATCGCTTATCCAACTTTGTTTTTGGAAAGCATTATCCGTGTTTGCTTTCAGACTAAGAAATTTCTCGATCTCAACGCGTCCGCCGACTTGGTGTTTAGCCGAGAAAGATTCAATTACTTTAATGTACCTAACAGCTCTCTCTCTCTCTCTCTAATAAACTACACATGGTACAAGCTGACAGGCAACCTTCACTTTTGAACTTATACTTGTTATAAAACATATTAATGATGCCTTTGAAAAGCGAAAGTAGTTAGGCCACAAAAGGTTCATTTATGTTAAGGTGTTTGTTATTTTATTGGCGATTCTCTACGCAGACAATGGAGAGAAACATTTCAAAGGTAAAAACTGAAACAATGATACATTGTAAGACAGGACATACCTCTATAGAGAAGGTTAACACTATAAATTTTTAAACGACTTACGTGATTATTCTTGGTTTAATTTTTCTACGATAAAAATACAATAGTTACATAAAAAATCTATTAAATGTACTGCAATTTGAAATTAAAGCGTAACAACTCAGTAGGGCAGTTGTTAAACGTTTATTTGAGGCGTTGTGCGCCACAGGTTCGCATCCCGCGATTAATTAGACCTTCAAATTAAACTTCTCCGCGATACAGGATAGTTATTGAAGTACTTAACGTGTTTTAATTTACGAAAAATCATCTAAAAATAAAAGGTCTTGCGATAGTTCGTCCCAAATGATCGGATATGCGAATATGTAAATGTATTGTATTTTAGCACTAAATTGGTTATAATTAATACGCGAGTTTTAATCGGTTAATGATTTATTGGAGCCTGCGTGACAGAAGAATACCATCTAACCAACTGGTATAAAATACCAACTGTAAGAGGAATAACCGGAGCGTATTGAGAGCATCGGAAATGTAGCATCTTCATTTGAAATCGCGGCGCAACAAAGGGGTAGTGCTTCAGTATTTCCGTAACATAAAACTAACTTTGACAATTACCACGTCCGTGTGTAATTGCTTACAGTGCAAAGTTTAAACAGTTGGTTTGAACGAGCAAAACGTCAATATTTAAAATCGCTACTTGTTTTTAAGGTGTTTGTTACAACACCTTAAAAAGTCATAAACCAAATAGCTGCGTGTTTAAATTATATTTTAAACAAAATCAAATTTAAAATAAAAAAAAACGAAAACGCGTTAATTATATTTACACAAATTATTATCATACTTAACACAATTTACGCACTGAACCTAGTGTTCACAGATCCGGTGATCTAACAGCGGCCTAACTCGCGTGACATAATCGAACGTAAGTCGTAGCGGGTAAAAACTTTTTGCAACACTGACCGCTTGGCTCCAGATCCCTCGCATGATGTGGCGGGGAACGGCCGTTCCAATAGCTGCTGCGCCGGAACTGTTTTTACTCTGTACCATTACCTTGGAGTTCTGTTTATATATATTCAAGCCCACCCCATGAGGTGTAAGGTGGGGCGCTGTTAGGCGTTCACTTTCGCTGGATACCCCAGGCTGTAGATTTTTATAATTAAGCCCTTTGGGGGCTGTGGGAGTTTCGACTGGGTAGTTTTGACCTTCAATTGACTCTTTCCATTCAATTATATCCTCCGTCAATAATACATCAATAATACATTAATCAGAATATACATTGATAGACTGTGACAGAGTACGCTCCGGTATTAAAATAATAATATTGCCTTTTAGTTTAATTATGAAATGAGTACTTTAAATGATTCAAACTTAAGAAGTTATTTTGTGTGCATATTAACTTATTTTAAATTTCAAATCCAAAAAGTTAATAAAATCCATAACTAGTTTTATGTTTCACTTAAATGTGTAGTGTCCACGGAAACAGTAATCATTACATTTGTGTGCGTTAAACAAATTAAAGATGTGCATTCCAAAAAATGTAAACAAAATAATATTGAAGTTTTAAATTCAAAGGTTAACAAATAAAAAAAATATTAATTTGGATGTTATATTTACCTATCTTAACAATATAATAATAGCAACAAATACTGAAGACCTGGTAAGATATGCAGTTTGCATATAACAATTCAGTGCAGTAATACTGACAAACTGGTAAGTACAAGTATGCAAGAGGCTCAAAACCGCGCTTTGTGATATTCCTTGGTTGGTATGTTCAGCTGTGGGCTTGTGAAGGGCTGTAATGGTGATGACGATGATGATGATGAAAAATACAGACAACGGTTTGAAATTATATGATAGGTGCGTAGCCAACAAAATACATGTGCGCAAAAACTGAACTTATCCTAAATGTCGAGAATCTATCACCAACATTTTTAATCATAATTTTATTTTCGATTCATCTGACATTCTACTCAGAACGTAACTTCTATAATCTTCTATAATTATATAGGTTTTCTATAATTTTCCCAAAACAACAAGAGGCTTGTGTTCTTTAATGGGACATTTATAAATGTATTTTTTATTATTATTCATTTACTACGTATTTTTTGAAGTAAGTATCTTACGCGTCACGGAGAAGAAAGCCATTGAGTTACTTATTTGGCAAAAATTTATTATAGTAATGTAATAGTATCGTTTGCCACTAATACATATTTTGGTAAATAAACAGATGATTTAACGTGGTAGAGTCGATGAAGTTATATTATGGTTAGTTACATCTTGAATAGGTCAGCTCGACAGGGGAAGGACAAGCTGTATTATACCAGCGTAAAGTAGCAGCTTAATATTATGTTCGTTTAAAATATGGATTATCTGTAATATGGATTATTTCCAATCCAATTTTTGAAAATATTAAAATAGGTAAAAAAAGTTTTGGAAGAAAACATCCTCTTATTAATTTAATTGTAGTTTTTAATAAGACCGAATCAATTTTAAAACAATAAAATAAGCATGCAATTCTTATATTGTGCCGAACAAAAACCGAGTGCAAAAAAAGAGACGGTGAACAAACATAAAATTCATACGCGACGATTATTCCTCGCATATGAATTTTATGTTTGTTCACCGTTTTCGGGAACGGCTGAACCGAATCGAATTATTCTTTTTTTTTCATATACGTGCATTTGGTTTCACGGAATCGGCTGTTACGATTTGGATGACATTTTGCATTAAGATAGTATTTTACTTTCTAAGTTTATCTATAGCCGTCATCGTTAAGAAAATTATAGTTATTTTTCTTACATTAACCGAAAATTAGGCTTAATGACTTGACAGTCTTACTCATGTTGAGACTAAAAATAAAACTGAAATCATATAGTTTATGATTTATATTGTCGTAATAATTTAAATTAATAAGGATTTTATGTTGGGGTTTGAAAAAATAATCTTATATACTCAACTACACACAATTTATTAAATGATCTTATTAAAATTATGTTTTTAGTTTATAGAAACCTTTTAAGAGTTAGAGTAGGGCGACCTCACACTAGATGGAGTGACGACCAGTAAAAGATGCAGGAAGTATATGGACGCAGGTGGCTCAAAACCTTGCTTTGTGGTATTCTTTGGGTGAGGCCTATATTCAGAAGTGGGCTTGTGATGATGATGATGATGATAATGAAGATTTCTAAGAAATGGTACGTAAATTAAGAAATGCCGTTTTTTTGAAATTCAGTTGAGACTCTTTTCTACCGACTTTATAAAGGAGGATGTACTCAATTCGACTGTATGTTCTTTTTTTGTGTGTGTCTTTCGATGATTTTTTTATTTGAAAGCTGGTACTTCTCATAAGGTCCCATATAAATTTGATCAAGGTTTGACCAATAGTTTTTGAGTTATTCTTAATAATTTATATAGAAGTCGGTTGTACAAAATTTTTAATTTTAAATTATTACTGTACCAAATAAAAAAGTAATTACGTTCGTGTCTCTTGATTTAAACAAATGTCATTTCGATCACGTTGTATTATGTATTGTGACTTTGTAACCCGACTGCCGCAGAAGGTTGGTAATGTTTTTCTAGAGTATGTATGTATGTATGTACATTTCTTTGGCACGCTCTGTAGCCCAAACGGCTAGATGGATTTTAACATACGAGGTATCGTTAGATTCGTCTTAATTGTAGAAGTAATATGGGCTGTATAATATTTATATATTGCATTTGCAAACACAAAAAAGGGAAGGGAGAGAATTTTTGAATTTTTTTCCAGTAATTTTTTAACGCAGTAGGGTTTTTTTTAATTACTGTTTTATCCATTAAGCTTGTTTTCTATATTATTTTACATTTTTTTGCAGAAGAGTAGGTAAACTTGCATGAGGCTCACCTGATGGTAAGACCATTGCTTATGAATATTTGGAGAAAGAAAGGATTTGCAGGTGCATTGTCGACTTTTTAAGAAGTTAATGGGCTCTTTTTATGAAGGTTTCCAAGTCGTATCGATTTGGCGAAGGTGATGCTGGCATTCAATTCCACAATGTGAGTGTGTGGCAAAACATTACTCCTAAAACGCATGGTAATGGTTTGCCAGACATCGGAATGATGTGCACTGAATATTAAGTTCTATCTTAGTGTACCATGGTGGAATTTAGCAGCTAGAATTAATCCAAACAAATTCCCTGAGCAGTCTCGAAGATGCATAGAGAAGACAAGGCAAGTTTTACACGTGGTAGAGCCATGCTGCAGCTATATTAGTAGTATAGTTGTAGCACGAATGGGTCGGCTCGACCGGGGAGGGACCACGCTCTCACAGAATGCCGGCGTGAAATGGCGGCTTAGCGCTGCTGTGTTTCGTATGGTGAGTGTAGTACCGGAGACCCTTTTTACTGGAAAAGAGGCATCCCATCTTAGTCCTCACGGGTGACAGCGCATCTGCGTTTTGATTCGCAGGCGAGGATAGATGTAGATGTCTATGGGCCACAGAAACCACTTACCATCAGGTGGACTGTGTGCTCGTTTGTCACCCTATCCTATATAAAAAAAGTGGATCAAGCCGATCAGAAAGCACTTGGTCGTTGACGATTCGAGCCGTTTTTCATAGAATTTGGTCACGTGGTCTATGAATAAAATCGAATAGTTCGTCTCTAATATTGAAATAACTGGCGTCTATTAATCTCAGGGGGCTATTTGAATATTACTTACACATAACTAATCATCTATACAAATAAATAAAATTGAAGTGTCTGTTTGTAATGTCGAAATTACAGTTTTTTACTAAATGCATATGAAAGTAAATACGGTACTTATAACTAAAATACAAATTAGGGTTCCGCGAAAAACCTAAAAACCCTTACACGCGAGCGAAGTCGCGGGAAACAGCTAGTTTTAAATATTTTGCCTGTCTGTCTGTCCGAGCGGAGTGGCTGAACCGATTGCGTTGAAACATTACGAACGGACTGAAAGCAATGCCAGAAGAGGTTAGGCTATATTTTATCCAAAAAATTGAAGATTTAAAACAAAAGAAAAATTTATAAAATAAATAGTCTTTGATTATTAAGGTATTTTAAGGTAGGTATTTAGGTATTTTAAGTCTAAATAACGCCGCATTAAAATAACCTATCCAGGCGAAGCCGAGGCACGTCGCTGGTATATAATCTATACAAATAAATAAAATTGAAGGGTCTGTTTGTAATGACAAAATTAAAGCTTTCTACTAAATGCATATGAAAGTATAAACGGTATTTATAACAAAGATACAATTTTTAAAGTTTTTGTCTGTCTGTCTGTTCGTCTGTTTGTCTGTTTGTTCCGGCTAATCACCGAAACGGCTGAACCGATTTTGACGGGATTTTCACTGACAGATAGCTGATGTCACAAGGAGTAACTTAGTCTACTTTAATTTTAGAAAAAGAATTAGGGTTCCACGCAAAAAAAATTAAAACTCTAAATAACACGCGGGCGAAGTCGCGGGAAACAGCTAGTATAATATAATGATTGTATGTTTTTTTTTTATGGAATATTCTATGTCAGATGAATTTACAGTCAGTACAGTAGTAAGTGGCTACTGGACTCCACGGTAAGTGGCTACACCAGACACCTTTTTTGTCGTGAGGAAATTCTCATAGGAACCTTCCGCTGCGAGAACAAGAGAAAGGTTATGTTAGACTCCTACCAGCTAAAGAAAGGAAAAGATAAGAGCTTACACCTTTCTAAAAGCTGGTAATTCACCTGCAATTCCCCTGATGTTGCGGTTGTTCATGGGCGGCGGTAGTCACTTACCAACAGGTGACCCGTATACTCGTTTGCCCCCTCTTCTATAAAAAAAAAAACACCACGGTAGTCACTATTAGCGCATTACGAGAGATCCCAGCATCTCCGTTCAGAATGCAACCCTCCATCCATTTGCACGACTAGGAGCACGTTGCGGAGGTAGCGCCTAATATCACCAGCACTCTCATCACGATATCTCGGGTCCATTTTGCAAGTCATCA